AAAGCTCTCCTCCCCTGTTTGGCCAGCCTGTTGGCCAAGATGCTTTTGCCCATTTATCGAGGCAGATTCTGTCTCTTCCTAGCAGTCCTTGATCCTCAGAGAAGGTCCCATGGTCATAGAAGCCAAATTCCTGTTGTTGACACCAGCTCTGCAACCAGTTGTTGGCCCATAGGACCTGCCCGCTCCTCCTGAAGCCTTTCCCCTCTCCTCGCCCCCTCGTCCTTAGCCAGCCCTCCCCCCGAGAGCCATGTAGTCACACTTGATATGCTCCAGGGCTCCCCATCAGTGTCACTGGTGGTCATGTGGAAGAGCAGCAGGGCTGAGGGCTGGACAGGCCACTGCTGTCTCTCTGCAACGTCCTGGATCCGAGCCCCCAGCAAGCAGCAAACCTCCTGCAACAGCTAGTCAGGCTGGCAGATGGGGGGCCTCCATCCCCTGCAGCAAGGGGGATGCTACTATCAGCTACTATTACTCATAGCTTATTCCTGGTGTTGCTATGTGTCTTCAGCTCAGCTGGCTCAAATTTTTAACTGGACAGAGCTCCCAGACCCTCATTTGCCATGAGGGCACTGAACTTAGTTTGTAGTTTTTGATCTGCAGGTGGAATAGGAGCCTTCTTCTGGTACTAGAAATCACAAGCTTCCAGCCTTCACCGTCATGGCATTTTCCATTTCCCAACTGGATAAGCGCTGACTGTGCCCATCCCTCTTTTGGTACAGTTTGGGGTTTAGGCTTTCTGAGCTGCAGAGTCGTGAAGACCATCTAGTCAATCTCTTTCTCTTCATCTCCGATACAGCGCAGTCTGCTTAGCTCCTCTGCATCTTCTTTAGTTGGTGACACAGATCCTCCGCTAGTACATATCTCCTGCTTGCAGGAAGACCATCTTCCCTGCCCCTGCCTCAGTGAGAGCCCCCAGGCACTCCCTGCAGCCTGAGATCTGCACAACTGTTTCCTCTCTTAGGAGCTTAGTGTGGGTGGTCTCTGCTGTCATAGAGATAGTTGCTCCAGTTGCTATTGGAGACTGTGCCATGTGGTGCATCACCACCATTTCTGAGCATGTGTACACTGTCCTCAGCAAATTTCCTGGCCCCCTTCTGTGCACATTCCTGCGCAAACTACTGCATCTGTTGTCTGTCTGTATTCCCTGCATTCAAGGTCCACACTTATATAGGCCTCTTCCTAGTATTTGCTCAAAGGGTCCTGGATGCTCACTAATTAGGAGTGAGCGGGCACAAAAGCTCAAAGTGTCCTCTGCTCAAGAACAGCTGACAGAGCTCCTTAGTAGCTGTTAGAGCTTGCTAGAAGCTACAGCCTTCTGTAACTATCCTTTCCTGGCAGCAGCAGGCACCCTGAAGTTCCCCAAGGGTTCCCAAGAATCCCCTGATCTCAGATGAAATTCCCAGAAGATCTAGAAGCAGAGCCCAGAAACTGCTGCACAAACTGTTGTGTGTGTTTGTTGCCTGTTAGCTGCACTGAGTCCTGAAAAAACGCTGGGATGAGACATGGCCACATATCTCTCTGCTTGCCAGGTTTCCTTTCGAAAGAAATCAGAGTATGTTTAATGGCAAGGAGAAAATAATCATGTGGTCCAGTGTGTTTCCAGTCTGAGCAGGTCTACAGTGACACCAGAGAATTGACCTGCTCTACAGCTGGGATACAGCCAAGGTTTGTGCCTGAGAGCAGCCATGTGGACACACCACAGCTATGCCCTCTATTCGTATGCATGTTGAATTCTGATGGCATTCTGAGCACTCACCAATCGAGAACACAGAGTTACACTTAACAATATTTTCCAAGACTCTTTTTAGTTGAAAAATGTCAGTTTGTCTGATCTGAAAATTCTGACAGTATTTTACTCATTTTAATTACATTGTCCAAAGGCAATGGCTTCTCAAGTGCAGGGCTAGAATTCCTAGTTAAAATTTGAAAGATAGAAACATGAGAATATTCAAAAAAGGAACCCACACAAGATGAGGACAATGTTGAAGTCCTGATCTGAATTAGTCACAAGAAGATTGTACGCCTGAGTTCCTGTATCTCAGATAAATACAATTATCACTGGACCATGGCTAAAGTCTTTCATTGAAAGCTTAAAGGAAAAATCAAAAAAAGAAAAATGATCAATTAGTTAAAACATTCAGAGGTTAGAAAAAAATTCATTCCCAGTTTCACATATAATCAGTGTGGTCGCCCCCAAAGAGGGTAAGCATCTTGGCTAGTTTTACATAAGAACAGAGAGGCGAAGTCAGACATACAGTCCAGCTTCCTCAGATGCTGACTTTCTTATATATATATATATCATATCAGCCTTTCTTTTATCAAATTACAGAAAATAATAGCTTCTTTTGTTCTTTATATCACAGCTTCTGCCACAAATAACGGAGAAGCCACCAGTGGGCTCCAATAAGATCCTAAATCATGTCCATATCTTTCAAATATAACAGAAATAAAGAATCTGAAGTCCACTTGAAATTAAAATCCCCAACTTCAGTCGAAGGGCACAGAAGCAGACTCAATTCATTCTGAGTCAGAAAAAGCAAAAGAGATAAAAGGAAGGTCAAGAGCTACAACAGAGGATTGAAAGAGAAGTTGAGGCAGGTCATCTGTAGAACAGAACAGTAGGTGATCACACAGTTAAGAACTGTTATAACACAGAGAGACTATTCAGACTATAAATTCATCATCTGTCCAAGTTTTCTCATTTCTCAATTATTGCAATATTCAATATTCATTAAATGCTGCAATATTGCAACATTCAATATTCATTTATGTGGTTTTGTGAGAGATGGCAACAGAAGCAACAAAGGGGGTTGCTGTTACACATACACCAGTTATTTCAGTGTCTTCTAGCAACTAGAATATACAACTTATGAACCAAAAAAAGCTAGCTAGAAATAGGTATAGCAAGGCAGTATCTGCAGCTTCCCACATAAAGAAAGCATATGTAATCTCCATCTTCGCATTTCAATCTTGCACCTCTCTGAAAACAGAAAAATATTAATTAAGTGAAATCATAAGTGAAACTGTAATGTGGATAAACGTCCCCTGGCAGTGACCACAAAATTCACCTTTGTTTATGATCCAGAGCCAAATGTGTAACCAGGTCTGCACAAATTAACTTATTAACCTACTGAGTTATCTGTCCTATCATTATGATTTAATAGGAGATTATTCATCCCAGAGAATCCCAACATTATAATTAAATTCATTGTCATTCTGGAGTGCCAATTCCAAACCAATATGTAGAAAGTTTTTAGAACTAAATAACTAGAAAACAAAACCTTGTAACTGCTGGTAGACATAGGGTAACTCACTAAAAACAAACTAATTTTAAGATTCTAATTCACAATGTATTATCAGGCAACTGAAACAACACTTAAAATAATTGGCTTTTTAAGGGGTAGCATCAATAGACATTACACTTGGAATGAAGATTTTTTTTTCCTCCCCCCAACACTGAGTCTGTCTCTACACTTTATGGTTTAGATTCACTCCACCTACTTTTAATTATATAGCTCAATTAAGAGTTTAATGCTAAATAGGATGCATTTCAGCTTATATATTCTCCCCACTGAGTCCCCACAAGCCAGAATAAGGCCAGCTATTTCTTAATATCTTCCTCTGTACACTATCCAAGTGTTACTAAAGTCTACAATAATGAGGATAGGCAGTGGGTTGAGAAATATATCCATACAGCATTTATGAAAACCACAAAACTGGTCATTCTTTCTGCAAGTTGTCATCTACATACAGGGCACCCAGATAACATCCAGCAGCAATTTGCAGTAAAGGAGCCAAGTGCTTGTTGCTATAAGACAGCTTCACTAACACCGGCACTACACAAAGATAATTTGAAAATAATGCATTGTAAATATAACCTACATACCGTAGAACATTTTACTTAAATTTAGGGAAGCTTCCCTAAAGCTTCCCTGGTAAGATCAGACCCAAAACATGAGCTGATAGCTAGAAAGCTCTTTCTTTTGGCTATAGGGGGTATAGACTAACCTTTCATCTTATCACCAGTATTATTTAACACATTTGAGAACATCCAGCATAAGCTGCTTCTATACAGGTAAAATGAGAAATGCATTAGTATATTCAAAGTCTATCCAAAATAGAAAATTTGCCCAAATGAGACTTAGGGAAGATGATATGCAAATAGATTATCCATAATTCAGACAGGTCAGAAATTGCTTTATGGAAAAATGACACAAGTCAATCTTTTCCACCTGTGGCTTAAGAGCCATTCTTGTGTTCTGCCCTGACCATCTTTAGAATTCCCGTTTTCAGGGGAATCCAAAATTACTGCTGAAGGATACGATGAAGTTAGGAAGTGGAAAGGAGAAATCACACCAGGAAATACAAGTAATAATTACCACTGGTTAAACGGTTTTATCAGATTGGAATACTGGAACTGCTTAGTCCAATCTGAAAAAGTCATTTTGTCTAACCTTCCTCAAACATCACGAGGAACCAAACTGACCTCTCAAGTAGGGCAAAATTTATAACCTGGAGCCTTGGTCTTGATCACTTGATCACATAATACTGGAGTTACAGCAGTACAAAAATTATTCTAAAAATTCCTAAAAGCTAGCTCTTAAATTAGATCTTAGTTGTATAACTATAAGCACAAATACTGACAGTGCCTATGACTGCAGACAGGAAAATTAATTATAAAAGAGAAAGTGATTACCCTTAGCACTTCCTTCCTGTGATCACTGATAGAAGGAAGCAACAAGGACGGTCCACAGCTCTTCACCCTGTATACCTAGTTAAAAACTATGAGAACACACAGGACAATGGGATATCCTTCATGAATGGTACTTGCTAAAGGATGTTGATCTTGGAATACAAAAAACACAAGCAATAAATAAAACACGTATAGGTAGACAACACCTTCCTCCAGTGGCAAGTTGTCACAGTACCTGTATGAATAATAACTTTTAAATCTACAAAAGGAGGATTATAAGGGGGAGTATAATGAAAATTTATTTCACCTTTCTGACAATCTTTCCACACAATCTTTCGATTCTTCTCATAATGTTTATTTAGCCAGGTGAGGATGATTCTCTCATGTGGAGAATATATATTACTGGATAAAGGTTCTGATTTTATTCTTGGCATGCTCTGCATGCCTTCCGAGTCAAACAGATCACTGATATTATGTGAAGAAATACGTGGAAGAACTAATACCTGAAATTAGAAAATGTGATTTTAAACACAACCTTTAGAAAAAATAATTTCAGGTTGAAAGGTTAACAAAAAAAAAAAAAGGATTCAAACTCAAAAACTTTCCAGTTTGATAAAGGTTTAAGAGATCACACTTTAGTATAAACACATAATATATAGGTGAACAGATCTGCTGAGGTTTTAGGGAATTCCTTTACCTCCTTAAACAAAATGTAAATTGAAGCTCCCAAATATTGTTTTGAATGTTTTTTTTTAATTGTTGATGACGTGGATGAAATCACTAGACCCTTCTGGATGCCAAGAATGACAGAAAGTTTGAAGGAAAATGTAATAAGAGGTAATAGTATTTAGGTAGCAAGTGTTAGAATTGTCAATAATTTTGAATAGTAAGAATATAGGAGTAAATTTAACATGGGGAAAGATTAATAGAGCCTTAAAATAAAAATAAAAATAAAAGAAAAAGAAGGTAGATCTTAGCAGCTGAGTTGTTAGGGACTAGAGGAGACAGCATTAAGTACTCCAAAGCCCAGAAAAAAAGAAGCTAGGCTATAGGAAATGATGATGAGTCCAAGGAGAGTTTTACTCTCAAGACATAAAACAGAGGTTTGAAAAATGTTCTGTGAATTGATGCAAGATGTAAACAGAGATCAAGAGGTAAATAGAAATCAGTTAAAAAGGCAAAACAAAACAGTAGCCAAAGCAGGGGCCTGTTGAAAGTAGAAGTCAAGGGAGCAAGATATCATGAGTACGTTCTAGTCATAACCAGCAACACCATATAAGCGTTTTGTAACACTATAACACTACTTTGTATTTTGTAACACAGCTAAACATAAATACATAAAAAGTATGCAACTTCAAAGGACCAAATGGAGACCTAAAGTAGAGTTGCACAAACCAGCACAGTAAAGCAGGCAGGTGGTCAAATATGCAAGAACAAAAAATGTAGAACAGACGGGGAAGATGCCTGGTGAAACTGAAGTAAACCTAGAGAACAGGCAGGAAAGATGTTTGATGTAACCAGAATAATTCTGCAGAATAAGCAAGAAAGATGCCTGACAAAACCAGAACAGGTCTTGGTCTGAAAAAAAGAAATAAACTATGTCAGAAGCATGTGAGATCGCTCTCCTCCCCCACCCAGCTTCTTTGGTGTGGAGGTAGGGGTGAGGTTTTGGGGGGGGGGGGGGGGGGGGGGGGGAGATAACAACGGTTTTGCTTCCAGCCTCTCCCTGACAAGAGAGCTCTCAGGCCTGACCACCTTGACCCCAGTCACTAAGACCATCAAGCCAAGGACCATAGTCATAAGCACTAACTACACTGCATCAGCTCCACAGTGTTGTATATTCACTGCTAATTTCAGGTAAGCTTGTTAAGCACTAATTGGGGAAAAAATGGTTAAGAACTAACCATTGGCAGTGTGTACTGATAATGAATGTTAATTCAGTAAAGTGTTATTCTGAAGTGTGAAACTGGCCCAATTTGTCTGTTTTTCAAACACTCCCAGTCATCTCTAATTCCCTGAGATATATATATATATGTATATCTACGCATATATAGATACACAGACATACATATACATACATGGGGGGGTATTTTTTTCAGCTGAAAAAAAATCCATTGTAAATATAACAAAATGTTTAATGATGGGCATTACAAAAAAAAAGGCAATTTCATTTTATCTAATCAGAATGGAAATGGCTTGCAGCTCCTCTTTAATTATTTCTAATCTTATTAGTTTCCAACACCTGCTTGTAACATGTATGTCAGAACAAGCATTGATTTCTTAAGAGGAGAAAGTATTAAGAGAACTATTTAACCCTTCCATTTGCTATAGCAAGAGCAGCACACTGCTGCTCTTCATATAATATGATGTAGCTATAACCATATGACATCACAGCTCCAATATTTGCATCTGGATTTTTTTTCCAGTCCGCAAGGACTATGTCATCCACTGCTTTCAACTTTTTCTGAGCAAAAACTTTTCTGATACACTAATATACAAAGATAGTTCACTATTAATGTACACAAGACCCAAATTATACCATCCATATTTAATTAAAAACAAAATTTAAAAAAAGGAGTCTCATTTGAAACTTTAAAAATACTTTTGTTTTAACATAAAAAAACCAAAGCTGTTATGTACCTGAGGTAGAACCTTTTGTTCTGCTAAATTCCACAGTATTTCTGCAATCAGCTTCAGGTAAGGTAGAATTCCTAAATTTTATATTTGGTTAAATTAAAAAACACTGCTCTAAAATCAATGCCATACTCCATCTAGTTTAGACCTGTGCCTCAGGGAACAATTTACTGAACAGAGAACTCTGACAAAAACCAAAATAATGGCCTGTAATGCTGCAATGAAATTCCCAAAAGTTTTTACCCCTTCATATTTTAATCTTCTTCCTAGCCAAGGGTATCTTGAATAAACCATTCTGCTACCCCACAATGAGCAGCTATGCATCCACGCATATGGAAACTACATCAAAAAAAACAAAAAAAAACTTTCCCGGCTAAGCCTGAAATTATACGAAGACATTCATAATTTCCATAACAATAACCTGAACATTCGTCCTTACAAGCAAGAGGTGACTAACACACTATCACCTGACTCTTGATTTCATAACCTATTCTCTTTTCTTTTAAGGAGCTAATTAGTCGGAGATGGCTTTGGTAACCATTAGACATCTAGCAACTCTATGGTAATGCTGAAAACACATAAGGAGAAAACATTTTCCTTATATTAAACCAGTAATGTTTCATTATTATATTAAATAAAATATAAGATTAATTTGAATATAGCATACAAATATTATTTGTTTGATTTATTAATAATTTGACCAACTGAAGTTAAGTTCCATTTTACATAGATATTAACAATATCTTATCAAACAAAATGCATAACTTAATAGCTGACACTTTCTGACAGTACATTTGTGAATGTTTAAAACAGATATTTCCAATCGTTAGGCAATTTCCAGTTATCTAATTTTTACAGTTTCATCTAATCAGGTAAGAAAACCCACATGTATACTATTCATTTTGTTTTTTGGTTCTGTGCTAGTCTGTCCTGTAGTTATAATTCAGTACATTGGGGGGGAAAAAAAAGCAGTGACTTGCTTTCAGATCTCTCTGATTGCATTTTTCTCTACATTTTTGCACAGGCACAGGAATATGCATCCTTGGGTCATTCATCCCAGTATGTGTAAATATACAGTTTGTTGTCTGTTCTTTCTCAACTACTTTTACCACTATTTTCTTTTAGATCACTTCTACATCTTTGAATTTTAGATTCCTCAACTTTTTTATTCTTTATTGTGCTTTTATAGTAAACAATATTTATGTTTTTCATTTATTTTCTATCCCTTTGGATAAAAATAAGAAAATACTTATTTTTTGGCATGCTGATGATTTGTGAGAGTATCAAGTCTACTTTAGAAAACTTGATTCAGACAGCCAATATATTTACGTAACATTAGCAAAAATAAAGTTGATTACAAATTTTAGAAGTCCATACTGACTAAGTTGATTAAATCTCAACAGGAATAGGTAATCATAAAAATGCTGATCTGTTCAAAAATTCCATTCTAACATAAGATAATACATGCCACAGTCATGTATATCTCCATGCAACTACGTGTTTCCAGCAAAAAGGGTTTCTAACTAGTGTTATCAAAATCATGGCAGAAGGATTTTTTTTTTATCCACAGTAGAAGATTTCTATAAAGTTAAACCTAGTAAATTAACACTATTCTAAAGTGGCATTCACCTAATTGAAACACTTTAACACATTGCTAAAGTATCAGAACTAAGAAAATTTAAGTATTCTCTTTTAAAATAGTCTTAGAGAGACTCCGTTAGAGAAAAAAAAACATTTGAAACAGAGGTATTTTTTTTATATATATATATGATTGAAAAAGTCTTGAATATACCAAAGATTTTTTTTTAAATAAAACTTTTTATAAAACCAGTTCTTCAGAATCTAAAGAGTAAATGTGACTACAATTTACCTTGTACACCTGCAGTAACACATCTGTCCAAGCTCGTTTGCTCATTGTCTCAAATACATTTTCTTCCAGCATAAATAAATGCATGTCACTAAACACATCTGAGGTCTTCACATCATCTTTTTTCAACTCAGCCATTTCAGCCTTTAGATAAAGGAATGAAATTTATTTTCAATATTAATTTCAGCAATTTAGATTGGAAAATCATAGGAGGACTATAATAAAAGAGGGTAACAAATAAATGGCATAAATAAATGGCTAATATGTCTGGAATAGTGCAACACAGCTTAGCACAAGAACCATTATTAATTTGCTGTTTTCTCGGGCACAATACGGAATTGACAGGAGTTGAAAACAGCAATCCAGACAGAGAGGCAATACAAAGGAACTTAAAACACTGGAAAAATGGGTAGAAAGCAGAAAAATAAATTCTACTTTGAAAAACCAATTGGTTGGAAATTAATCACAGATATTTGATGGGAGAAAGAAACTTGGAAAGGAAAAATGCTGGCATTAACCTAAAGTTCTACTCAGTCTTATGCATGTGCTTAAATTTATGCAATATCAAATAATCACCACAGTGATTGGTGCTACTCATGGTGCACTGAAGATTTCCATTAGTCTTTGAAGGACTGGAACTAGACCATATAGTCTTTGTTTAAAAAACAAACAAAAAACCAAAACACACACATACTACCTTCAGTAAAGTTTGCACTGTAATCCACTTCTTATAATCATCAGGTTCAAGCAGAAATTCTGGCATAACATAAGGCAGACAGGCTCCTTGGCTTCTAAAATAACAAACCAGGAAAAGTTAATAGATAGACAACATAATACTTTTTAAGGGTAGTCCAAGTTTATCAATTTACTCAACCTATCTGTAAGCTGTTCTATCTGAGTGTATGCTGCAGTAATAAGCCAATTATACTGATAACTATAAGTAGTTTTAAATAACAACATGGGAAGAAATGTGAATATCCTAGGTGATTCTAAAACACACAGGATGGAAAAGAGTATCCATAAAGCAGGGCCACTGATACACAAGAACTAGAACAGGCAGAAAATGACAGGATTTGATACTGCTTAGGGCATACTGAGAATCAGCTTATATCTTTGGTGCTGGATGATCAAGCACAGGTGTTCTGCCAGAAATGGTTTTCTACAGCAACCTGTATACTTTTGCTAGGACTGTTGTTGATCACATCTTCATCTCCAATCAGCGGATAATCACTGATGTATCAGTGTACAGAGGTGCCAAACTGAGCCTTGACCACTGGCTCCAATTCTGCTCAGAATCTAATATCAGTCCGTTAACGGACAAAACTCGGTAAGATTGAATCTAAAGCATTTATTAAAATTTAGCTAATAGCTTTCCAAATATCCAAGGAAACTGCATTAGAAACACTAAAGTATTTATTTTTTATTGTTATTATGCTCAGTAAAAGAGTTTGAGGCTCGGTCACTCCTAAACTCAGAATCATTTTAGAACAGCTAAGTAACAGTAGGTATGGTTCTGATCAAATCCTATCTGCATGATAGCATATGTTTGTTTATGTAGAGATTACTAAATCAAGTTGAATATAAGAGACATTTTACATTGAAATATGTTAATGAATCACCCAAAAGCACGAGAAGACTTTTAGCCTTTGTTGAAGCACAGCATTATCTACTAGCCACTGAGAGCCCTATTCTAACAAAGAGCTATTTGCATACCAAATTGCTTATCTTAACTAGGAAGCACAGCAAGACCTTCTGGGTAACAATAAAATAGAATGAGTTTCAAGATGGAAGACTAAGTGTGCCTAGATTCCCTGGAAAATCTCAATGGAAAGACTGGATATAAGAGCCATCAGGCTCCATCAGGAAAAAATTCTGACCCTATCCCAGGAGTGCTCCAAAAGTATCCTGTGAAATCTCTTTAAGAAAAGCTCTGTGAATGCGTATTTTGATGGAAGCTCCTGAACTTTCTCTATTAGGGGTAACCTGAAGCATAAGGTATGTAAAAGGACAGAAACCTGACTGCCTCCTTACCAGAAGCTGCCAGAATAAAAGCCAGATAAGGTATAGAGAAAGACCTTTCTGATATAATTTTAGTGTGAGTAGATTAAAGATGACGTTCTTTCATTTCTTCACCTGTATCTTGGAGAAATATTTCTACTTGTGTTGTCCATTTTTAATGTTAGGAATAAATGTTTTTATTTGCATGTTACCATAAACAAGCTTGAGACAAGCAATGTGTAATAAAGACGTTCTCTCTCTCTCCCTAAGGTGCAATCACTTGGTAAACTGGGTCATATTAATAAGTACACTTCCAACCTCACAGCATATCCTCCACTCTACCAAATACCAAACATGCTAAGAATTTATCTTGTCTGCTCAAGCCACCTGAAGACCTGACACTGTCAGGGTGAGAAAACAAAGTGTTTCCCATAGCTGATAAAGTCGAAGTAGGCTTTCTGGCATGCCCAAAGGTATTGGGGAGCATGCTGGAACTTGGAGGACAACAGATGTAGATATCACTGTTATCTATTGGGAAATGGCATTATTTTCATCCCTTAGTGCTACCTCATCGATCAGATAATGGGTTACAAAGGAGATGTTAAAACATTTGAAGCCAGGCAGAAAACCTTTCCATCCTAGAAGACCAAAATCAAAGCCTGTATTAATTTGAGTTAAGGCCATAAAATCCCATACCGAAGGGTGAAAGGTTCTGAAAGGCACATCAGCTTTAGTCCTGAAAAGTAGTTAGACACTTGTGTGTCTCTTGATAGGAACTGAGAGGAATCAATCAAGCTGTAGCAGCTACCTATAAAAGGATTAATGAAACTTAGAACTGAAAACAAGGGTAATAGGTTAGAAGAGGATGCATATCTTGAAGTTCCTTCTGACTGCTCTCCTAGAAATCGTGCAGAGCATTAGCCTGACACCAGACTTAGGACAGCGGCCACCTGAAGGCTTTTCCTTGGGTTGGAATCAAACAAGTTTTCCAACAGTTCAACCTCAAGGAATCTTCAACATGCTGATTAAATAAACAAGAAAATCTGTTGAATCTATTTAAGAGAGCCATGCAGCATCCCTATCATCCCTCAGTGCCTTCTGAAGGAAGCAACACTGCTTCAGAAGAAGGATCAGCAGGGTGGCATTAGTCAGAGTTTTCAAATGATACGATGACAAGACATTCTTCAGCAGTACATTGCCTATTGGCTCTACAGCTTTAAGATAAGATCGGAAGCATCAGTTGATTCCTTTATCTATTATCAGAACAGAAGCTGAAGTTGTGAAAACAACATGAATCTATATGCATTTTTCTTCATTACTGAAGAAAGGGAAAGGTGTCTGTGACTGCTGTAACGGCTCTTCCAAATCATCTGCCATTTATTAACTGTGATACTAGGAAAAGTACTATTCTACTCTTTTTAAAAAGGAATGACATGGATGAAAGTTGCAACTAAAGGTCCGATGTTGTTAGACCTAGAGAAAATATTTGCATCCTTGTTAATGTTGTGAATACTTTATCTCAAACACCAGGATGTTTGTTGCATCTATAGACTCAGTTGTTCTGCTATAGATAGCAGTCATTCTGCTGTCAACGGGGAGATTGAGATAGCTTTTTCAGAAGATCACTAAATTTAACAAGCTGTGCACAGCACTTTTTATAGACTTGCATCAGGCTTTTTGATTCAGTGTACTGAGTAAACTTACGGGATCTAATGAGGCAACTCAGTGTTCCTGGGAAGACAGAATTATTGAAAGAATAATACTATAATGGAATAGAAAGATGTATTTCAGATAATGGTAGACAAACAGCATGGTTTCCTGTTTGCACAAAAGTTTAACAACATTGTGGTTGAGGATGTTAAAAAAATGTGGCTCCTGTGTTTCAGGACTTCTGATGGCTTCTCCAAGGCTTTCATGACATCAGGCTTTACTTAATTTTCATTTCTGTTTCACAGCAGTGAAAACCAAGAAGGATGAGGAAAAGTTTATTAACTTTTTTGATTCTCAACATCTTTGACATCTGCTCCACATTATACGTCAAGATAAGATCATCAATGAAGCTAGCTAATAACTAAATCCATTCATCAGCAGAAGTAGTGCTTCAATTTCTTGGCATATTATTAATATGAAAGACTAACAGATTACAAAGTAAGTTTACAAAATACATCACTACTGCTAGTAGGACAAAAGCCATCAGTGGAATAGCAAGACCATCAATAACAAACATGACATGGACTATCTTCTCAGTCTATCTAAGGGACGTGGTTGAGATTTGTCTTCTTCCATTATGAAGTTCCTCTGAGATCCCTATATTATATTAGTGCAAATAACCTACCAAGGGACACATTAATTTAGTATAAGCTGCACAGGATACCTTGGTAAAAAGTTAATTAAAATTTATCACACATAAATCTTAGATTACAAAATAGACAGTAAAAAATATGCTAATAAAAAAGGGGAAACTGAAGAGACACATATTTTATCACACATATGTACTTACTTAAGGAAAGTAAGCAATGCAGAATGCTGCCAGTAGAGCTGCAATACTCGTTCAGTTGGATCAAAGGACAATGACTGGCTGGATGTAATGCCTGGTAACAACTGTCCACTCAGATGGAGTAACATGTCGTAAATAGTCTTAGTATCTTTGCCAAGGTTTTGTTTAAAAACCTTCTCTGGAGAAGAAGTCATCTGGACTTTACACACATCACTAAGAGAAAAAAACTTCTGATATTATGCTTTAACACTAGTTTCTTTTATGTATTTAAAAGTAAAATATTGTACCACTGACCATGATAAATTTTTTAAACAAATCATAAAGAAAAAACAGAGGCATAGAGGTTGAAAAGTACAGTGCCTTTCCCTTTCTACATAACTTTACAGTAGCATATGAATTTTAATCTGCATGGAATATTTAATAAGTGTATATGAAATATTTCATAAGTGAATATGTGTCTGTCATTGCTTCCTGCCAAACAAAACTTTGCTTTCTATTATTTTTATGAATGTCTATACAGCCACATCCCAGGAGATCGGCTTGGTCATCATTTAGTAGCAAACTAGATAACATCAACTAAGTGATGCCACTACAACTGTTACATTTCCAGGGTGTTTGCAAGACTGTGAATAATGAAGTTTGCTTCCCCAGCTGCTTCTTGACCTTCACAGTATGGGGGAAAAAAGATATACTGTTAAAATACTTATTTATGCCATCAAAGGTGGGACAACTGCTAAAACTGTGTTCATTCTGGGATCAGAATCAAGTGTTATATGCAGTTTTAAATGTCTATTTAACATATCCTGCATTAGGGTACATCAAGGCATCCTGCTCGGAAATATATTTTATAGAATGAAAAATTATAACACCTACATAACATTTCCATACAACAGTGTATAAATGCTACAGCTTTAATATACAACTGTGCATTAGAGTTCATTTATATTCCTCAGATCATATCCAGAGTAACTTAAGATATAGGTTAACACATATGAGTTAGCTCTTAGCAGATATGAATTACCGTCTTAGTGAATATGGTATTGAAATAGGATTAGGTCCCTTAGACCAACCAAAGAGACTGAACCAATTCTGAACAGCAGTTAGGACTTTCTGAAAGAAGATGTACTCCTCTTTGTCCTCATCAGGAAAAAGTGATAATTCAAATTTATTTCTTCTCCCATCACTTTGGCTGTTAGCTTCATTCATCTTTATACTTTCATTTTCAAGAATAGTATCCGATTCTGAATGATATAAAAAATACCAAAAGATTCTTTATTTCACTTTCCAGCATAAAAGCAACATGTATATTTTTAATATAATAGTTTTCAGAAAACAAAAAATTGTCACACAAGGGATGATTAACTCTTATTTCTAGAACAAACAACATAAGTGACCTGTACATGTTTTGGGATAAGAATAAATTACATTATCAGAATCTAATTTCACTTTATATACATACATACATATATATATACACACACACACACACACATATATAACCCAATCAGAAAAAAATATGAAATTCAGACATGGCCTACAAAACCATAGGCAGCAATCTTAAAGAAATAATCTTACACACAGTTGCAGTAGATATTACTTTACCAGTCAGTCAATGCTAGTTTCTCACCCCAATGATATGGCAATGGCTAATTGACTTACGTTCAAGTGAATTATCTGGCATTAACAAGTCTATCAGGTCTTAACAAGCCTATTTCCTGCCTGATAAGCCTTTGGACTTATTCCCCTTGTTTCCTCCTTCTCTCTCTCAAATCTTCATCTGGTTAAAACTTATATTACACATTTCAACCATCACTAGTTTTGTTTATTATACAACAATATTATTGTATAAAAGGTAATGATACAACCATTTTCTTCACAGCACAAATAAATGATTCCAATTGTATTTTAAAGTTGTATTTCCACACCTCTATTGTGGTGTTTCATTAAATGACGATCTTGTACAGTGAAAAAATTATCTGATTAGGTATTAAGAAGAAAAGACAACACAATGTAATATGAGCAAAAGAGGAGACTAGTCCTTTGTAATATGCAGTCAGATCTGAGCCTGTGCGATGGTGCTGGCTGACAAGGTTACGCTCCCACCTTGTCAGTGACACCTCTGCCAGACATTATTGCCTCTTCAGATCTGGAACTGAGTTGCTCTGTTGAACTCTTCTTACATCATTCCACTAAAAATGAATCATGTTCATAAAGAGCTCCTATTTAACCTGTTCAACTAACCCTACTTGTCCTGGCAATAGGTTAGAGAAGGACCATACAAACAGCCCCATCAGCAGATCTATCAGAGTGGAACATTAGCAGTGATGGACCAAGAGAAGTAACTTCTTCAGTTTGTAAACTAGCAGCTATGATGACCGATGTCAAGAGCCCCAGATACTAACCACCTGACAACCTCACAGAAGAGTCTACTACTCTTAACTCCTATGGATCAGCACCCTAACTGAGTCCCACTGACATTGGTAGTGTTTACATGGTATTTCATAAATACAATAAAAATGTCAAAGTCTAGTCTTAGCATAAAACTAGTTCTTTGCAGTGTATAGCACGTTTACAGAGTCCCCGTTGTTGGTTAGTTCGTAATTACAGAAACAAATGCCCTTCTTAGCAACTAATCCCTTACTTGCCTTCAGTAATCTATTTTCTGGTGGATCCTCCATGGACTTTTTATTGCAAATCGGACCTAGAATTTTTTTTTTTTTAATAGTCTGGCTCACTTTCCTTCCACTAGAGCTGCTAAAGGGCAGGAGAGTCTTTTCTGTTTACCCTCTAGGCCAGCTTTCCTATCACAGGAGAGGACATCCTCCCCATTTATTCATGTATTACACATGCAGAAGTATTTCAGGTAAAGATTACAAATGTGAAGTATGTCTTTAAAGTCATAAACTGAAAAGGAATTTTAAAAGTTCAAAGTGTTCAAAGTCAACACTTGTACTGTACCTGATTTGGAATCTTCGCAAGTTGAAGTAGTGATTGCACCAAAGGAACCTGAGGAAGTACTAAAGGAAAGTGATTGTGGAGTACAACATGGATGCAAAACAGCTTCCCCACTACAGTGGTCTCTCTCATTACTGTCTATAAAGCAAGATGGTAAGCTGTAGTTGAGTGAAAACCACAGTAAAAGATATTTCATTGTCTATGCTCTAACAGTTCATAAAGTGTTATATGCTTTTTTTTTTTTTTTGATTCTTGGGCTTCAATTAATCAAGTAACAGGTCCTGTTTGACTCATGATAAATATTTCATTTCTGTCACTAGAATGGGGACAAAAAAAATTACCTGCATATTTTTTCCATTAACTGTATCTTGTACAGGATGCGTCTGCACACTTGCTGAAAAGAACCTACCAGAACAACACTAATTCTGGAGTTCTAAGTCATAAACTAAATATTCTTAAGGGATTTCTGATCACAGTTCTCCATATAACGTGTCTCAGTTTTATATCATCAAGCCTTTACAGACTCAGTACCACTTTTTTTTCCTCAAATAAACCAAACTCAAAATTATGCTTTACCAATTCGTCACTTCTGCGATACCATAAAACTCACATACCTACCTGCACTTAAAAACGTATTTTTAACTTTCATTCTCCAAATACATATTTCTAAGTACAGCTCAATTCTCCTGACGCAGAATGGGGAAGGAGGATGATAGAAAGGGTCAGTGCATAGAAAAGGCTATGAAAGAAGACCAACACAAAGTTGAACATTGAAGAAAAGATCTCATTGACTAAAAGTATTTGGAATGAGCTACTTGGGAACTGACACACTGAAAAAAGATGCCTGCAACTAGATCTGCAGGTAGCAAAAATGCTAAAAAGTGAGTTACCTGCTAGGAGTTTCTTCATGACTCATGTTGCTGTCTAGAAACTCTGGCTTTTAAATTCAGCCAGTAGAGTAGAAAGCTTAAAAAAAAAAAAAAGAAAGAAAGAAAGAAAATAGCGAAAAGAAACTGCTAAGAAGATGCACTGGGTGACTAGTTGGCCTTAATCCCTGAAATATCAAAAACACTCACAGTTTCATTCTCTGTATTTGGCACCACTAAAGTCTCAAGGACTAGCAGTATTTCTTTTGGCAGTTTTGATTTTGTTGTTGTTATACTGATTTAGAGGATCTAGCAAAAGGAATCTGTGATTATAAAACAGAAATACTAGAATAGCTAATACTGGCAGAGAAGATATGGCAGTACAAGGCTTTAACATATACTGACAACTACAGTCACAGAGCTCTTTAAAGAGTCTGCTAACATATGCTAGAGATGATAGAGTGTGTTTCCACTGCTATTATTACTCCCTATAATTAGATAAGGTTAACATAGATATGCTAGAATATACTACAACTACACTTTCATTTTGCTGTGCAGACATACCTGAAGATTAAGTATTTGTCACAAGTGAAAAACATAATAATTTCTCTAACAGTTTAAATATGCAAGAGCCTAAACTCACATTTACTATTAGAGTAAGACTTTCTACTATTACATGATTTTGTTGGACCCACAAAAACCAGAGGGTTTAAGCTACATCTGAAAAACCTGAGTGATTTTACAATCCTATGGTCTTAAATGCCAATTGGAAAGGCAGTTCAAAACTTTCAGAAAAAAAACAGTTTTTCTTCAGATAAATGTTAAAATACGTAAGCCATAAAATTTTGTTGTTTTGGCTTTTATATGTAAAAATAAAAAGAATAAACTTTGTAGTGGAACTTTGTGCAAACACAGGTATGAGGGACTGCATTCCTTAATCAAAATGATTTTGATATATCCATGACAAAAATTATTCTGAGGCCACAATTCACTTCAATTCCACTATCAAAAATGCTTCCAATAGTTCAATAACTTTTTATTTCTTTCTTCATTTTGTCAAGGCCAAAACTTCTGACTATCAATTATCTGTTAACAGTATTCTCTTTTCTTATCCCATTAAAAATTTTACCTCAAAAGAATTAAACTCCCCAAAAAGTTAAGACACCTTGTCCATATATAAATAAAACATTTTCTTCTCATAACAGATATTAAACATCTAAACTAAACTTGAGGTTTATAAAAAGAATTGCAAGGAATATTCAGAGTGAGAATGTCCACTTTTGCAGAAATATTCTACATTTTATACTACATTAGATAAAAGCAAGACACAGAATTGGGGGTGCAAGATAGGGTGCATCTGCAGTATATTAGTTATGACATTACTGTATAGTTCCATCTACCAGAAAGCTGAATGTAAACATTTTACATTATGTAGAGTGGCTTAAACTAAAGCATTAAACTAAAGACAACATAATAAGCATCTGCCATCAGTATCAATACAATTTTCACAAGTTAACATGGTATTGCCATGCTCTTGCACTCTGTGCAGAAGAGTTCTCATGGATCATCCACTCTGAATTCATATTGTCTCCCACTAGGGATTACAAATACTAATTCTAGATGCTGTAGAACATGGTGCAGTTTCACCTGCCATGATATAATAGGATTACAGGACCCTCAGAAGAAGGGGAACCCAGTATGGTTTCAGGACTAGCTAACAACAGTAAGAGAAGGAAAAACTCCACTATTATCTTTATATTGGGGTTGTTGACAAGGTTAAGGGTGCAGTTTGGACCAAATAACATAAGAGCATGGTGTTAGATACATGGAAGCAAAGGCTTGTGGAACAGCTTTCAAAACCACTGTATTGCACAGATATGGTTTGGTCACGCTAAACTAGTGATCCAGTGCATTCTCTTTGCTTGCAGTTTCTCAGCATTTTTTTTCCCTCCAGTTTTCATAAAATCACTGCCCTATCTTTGACTTAATCCTCAATAGAAAACTTAAGAAGTATCTTCAAAAGATGAGCCTGAAGAAACAAATTCATAAATCCATTGGATACTAAAATAAATAAATAAATCACACATTCATAAGAGAGAATATAATACTTTTTCCCTTATCTTCATTTAATTGTCCTATGATCCATGGGTTATATATTACCAATTATCTTTTCTCTTAGGCAGTCCAGGTAACACATTTAAGTCAAAGCAGTCTTAGAATCTGCAGTCTTCAAAGCTAAATCTATTTCTGACCTAATGAATGGTTTGCTTACCTGAAAGCCTGGATGCTTCATCCAAATATAACAGATACCAGCTATAAGAAAATGTAGTAGTTTACCTCATAGTTGAACCTGCTTTGAGCAGGAGGTTGGACTAGATAACGTCCAGAGGTCCCTTCCAACCAGAATTATCCTCTGATACTAATCCCTTCCCATAAACAAAACCACACATAAAGAGATTGCAGAACATTGAAAAGGACTTAGGAGTAGTATAGAAAAAAAGTAGATGTTTTAAGCAAACTTACACGATGTTTTTAATTTGCAATCAATTTCTTCAACTAACAAAACTAAAATATTTTAGAAATTCCACCTTGCATGTAATTAACATGCTCTTGAAAGCACTTGCTTTTGAAAAAGTGTGTTTTTTATGACTTTCTATTCTAAGTATAATCAAAAATTAAATAAATGTTGTATTAATGCTCTTAGGTTTTTATATTAAAGCACTATCATAAAACATCCATGGATTTCTACCATGTTAGAATGCAGCTTGCATATTTTACTTCTGTTTAATTAAGTTTTTCTATTAAAAAAAAAGAGAGACCTCATATAGAATGGATATCAAACTGTATTAGAGCTGTTTTATAATGTCCAGGTAAAAGATAAAAAAGTACTGCTTATCAACAGGACCAACTGGCTGAAGAATATGAGGAAATTTTCATCACAGATAAAAATATTTCTACTCTGTGACTCCAGGTTGTTATTGGGTCTTAAAATATTGTTACGCTCCCAGGTCTTCCAGGATACCATAATTAAAAATGCTGAAAATCATTTCCAACAGTCAAGTAATGACCACATTTTATCATAATATCAAGTGGCTTTCTTCTCTTTTGTTTTCTTCATAATTTATCCAGCTGTTGTCATATGAAATTTTAATGACTGTTTCTATCAGTCTAATTTAGATTCAAATTTCTTCTCTATTGTTTGGGCTGTCTTTTCTACTCATACTTTAAAAATATCAAATATTCTATAAATTCTAGATTAGTCTAATATTTTTTCAATAAATAATATGCAATTGTTTACATAAATAGTCCTTATTATTTTCAACAAGAAAACAGAAGCTATTAAACTATACAATTTAACTGCTAGCATCCCTTGTAATTAATGAAAAAAATACTATCTTGATAGCATCCCTGCTACCACACTGAAAACACTGACATACTACTGCATGTAAGATAATTTAAAGATGTAAAATGTTGATTGCTTACTGCTTTTGAAGATAACTTGTTGATCAAAGCGGTGAAAAGCCAAATACGGGTATAAAGTAAGAAGGCAGTTTTCTGCTATTGCAGCAACCTTAAGTGAGAACCTATTTAAAGCAAACAAACAAAAAAGTTATACCCATTAAAGAAAATATCTTCAATCCTTCTCTATGAATAGAGTTGCCTTCAAAGTAATTTTAATCAAATGTTTCCCAAATGATTTTATTTGGGAAACACTTTATTTCACTATGTGATAGCTTTCCATTTAGCCATGGCAAACAAGGTTATTTCAAGACAAGAATAAATGACATAAATAACGTTCAGGTAACTTCTTTTTGGTACACAGATGAGAGCACATGCTGAAATGGTGAAGGTTAGTATAGTATTTCCACAAAAGAATTCATTTACTATGAGCACGCACAATTCATTAATCTGAAAGTTCAAGAGTTAGAAAAGATTTCTTGAAATAAATGTACTGTTTCTCTCTGAAAACAAAAGCAATTAAAATTACAGCTGATATTTATGAGCATACTAAAGGAGATTGCTAACTTGCTAAAAGTATCCTATATTTTTTGTCACTGGAAGCTTTCTTGAAAAGCAACATCTATTTTGATTTAATGCTTTTTCTATAAGCCTTTAGAGAAATCTCAAAATAAATATTTAGAAACAAATATTCAATTTAAAAACAATGAGATATTGATTGCAATTGCTAGAATATAACAGAAATTGATGTACACACTTCTATGCGCAATAGAGTGTTTGCACTGTCTGTAGCATCCATGTTGAGGTGTAGCAATCCACCATTTCACCATTCTTTTCATTTTTGGTCTAAATCTTTCTGGGTGCAGTCACCTAAGAGAACTACTGCCATTAAGTAACTCACAACTGTTTGTACACATGTTCCTGGCTGACTGCAATTGAAAGGTAATTCAACTTATCTTAGTCCTATATTACTGCATAGCTTTCTTTCACCTCACATTACTTTATTCATGGCAGAAAGCCATCAAAATGCAAAGGAAAATACACTTTTAGTAAGTAAAACAACATGCTGATATCCATCTTGCTTTATTATATTGAGAATTAGGAATATGGAAAATATGCTTTGCATGGAACAAATGAAAATATTTCCTATTTTCTTAAACTATATATGGAAGGATAAATTTCTATTTTATGCAAATTGAGATTAATACTAAAACACCTCATAAGACCTTTCTTATTGTTTTCTAATATGTTCTATTTCTCTTCAACTGCTTTGTTATAGAATGACCTGACCAAGGACAACAGCAACATTTTAAAAGTACGAAAAGTAATTAAGTTTTGTTTCCTCCTCCATACTTCCCTCTCCAACTAGACAACGTTCTTAGATACTACTTTCAGGGGAACTTTACTAGACAAAAGCCCCAACTAAATCCATATCCATATCTTATCCATAAATATTCACATTTCTATTCCAATGTGATAGCTAATGGTCACTTAAATCAACAATTGAGCTCTAAAGTGCTTTGGTATGTTTTTTGGCCATGTCAGTCCTACAGAAATTTCAGGGTGGTGAGCACCTTGACCAGTTTCATCTTACCAGGGCACCTCTCAATCATTTAGCGTTTGCTGCTAATTTTATGCTACCTACTTTTATTTGGCAAAAATCTCAAAAACAGAGTACCAGAGAGTAAGATGGCTGTCAGCAGTATATCTACATCAGCAAACATATATTTGTATGTGTCCAAACCATGTATCAGAACATAATAATTTTTCTACCTTTATCAAACCATTTAAAGACATTCAATATTGAGAACCAGAACACAGAAAATTTTGCCAACTTCTAACTCATGACTTCACTGTGGTAAATGACAATTCTCAATACCCCACAGGCATACATTAGCTTAACTTCAGACAACAAAATTATAAACATACTGCTGCTAATACTAGCATGGCTACTGTGCTCTGCACTGAAACATTAAAAAAATATACAGAGTGTAAACAAAGAAAAGAAGACACAGACCACTGAGTTGTTAATGGATTCATCATACTGTCTTCATAAAACAATAACAACAGTCAGTGATGCTTCTAAATAAAAGATATATCTCACTTGCTTCATTAAGATAATCTATGTATACTAACCTTGGTGATCTGTAAGTTAGCACAAATTCATTCCAAAGGGTTTTCCCTTTCATAAATAAAAATACACACACATGACCAGAGCATATTTTTAATGTCTTCATCCATATTGTATTCAATCTTTGGAAATTCTCCTTAAAATTTTAATTCATAGAAGTTTGCAGGTAATTTGTAATATGCAGGAAGCTTATAAGGTGACCAAATGCAAAAAGGTACATTATTATTAGATGAATACTCTACACTGCTGTAATTAGATTTCACTACTTTGAAGTATTGGCTAATCTTCTGAATCAGGAGGGCAGACACTAGACCTAAGTTTCTGTAGTGAAAGCAAATTTTAACAGAATTATAAACCTGATTGGGGTACTAGTATCAGAAAATCAGTAAGTGAATTTCAGCACAACCTTAATAGCTGTGATGAAAGTAGCAAGATGACTTCAAATATAACAGAAAGAACTGCTCTCTCCTGAAGTTTTGTACTTCTCTTTTGAACAAGCACATACTTTAAATGGATATTATCCACTTCACATATGGATAGCAGCTGCAGCAACCTATATCTTGCCACACCTTAAGATCTCAGAAAACAGATAAAAAGCCATTTCCCCGCACACACAATTCTGAATTAAATTACTGGAATAACCTAAGGGAACTTTCAGAGGAAGAATACATTTTCTCACACCAACCCACATACTTTTCTGCTCTGTACAAAAGCTAACTAATATATTAAAATGACATGTTAAAATACCCAGGGAACTCCTTCACTGTTTAACAGGCAAGGGTGCAAGGGAAGGGGAGAGAAGATGGATTAAGATTAATTTACCTATTCATGTAAATTGTATGAATGAAATTCAGATGTCTGTATTATTGGACTCAGTCACATTTCTGGTAAGCCAGGTGGAGGTGAGCACCACAGCCATCTCCACCACCAATGAAGATTTAAGATTTCGCAATGTGCCAAAACCATGTCTTGATTTGAATGGTAAGAAAACCCAGAAAAGCATACCAGAAAACAACAGCAGTGCAACTTAATTAGTTACCAAATTCAAGGACTGAAAGGCAAAGACTACCACACAATCTATAATATAAAGAATAGCCATAGCTACAGGACATCTAGGTACAAATCAATCCCTCAGACATCAGGCTACAGCTGTAAGAGGTGGTCCGCCCTGTTTCCTGATGCTTACAAACCAAACAAGTGCATGATCCTTTTGTATTCTGTGCTATTATAGGAAGAAAAATGAATAAAACCACCTAATGATAGAAGGAACTTAAGGAACATAACATATCCTAACAAACAAATTTAGAAGCTGAAGAGGGTTCATAAGACAAAAAGCTTGTCGAATGAAGCACCTGTGCTGAAATCATGCAGCAACACCAGGAATAAGCTATGAGTAATAGTAGCTGATAACTCCTTGCTGCAGGGGATGGAGGCCCCCCATCTGCCAGCCTGACTAGCTGTTGCAGGAGGTTTGCTGCTTGCTGGGGGCTCGGATCCAGGACGTTGCAGAGAGACAGCAGTGGCCTGTCCAGCCCTCAGCCCTGCTGCTCTTCCACATGACCACCAGTGACACTGATGGGGAGCCCTGGAGCATATCAAGTGTGACTACATGGCTCTCGGGGGGAGGGCTGGCTAAGGACGAGGGGGCGAGGAGAGGGGAAAGGCTTCAGGAGGAGCGGGCAGGTCCTATGGGCCAACAACTGGTTGCAGAGCTGGTGTCAACAACAGGAATTTGGCTTCTATGACCATGGGACCTTCTCTGAGGATCAAGGACTGCTAGGAAGAGACAGAATCTGCCTCGATAAATGGGCAAAAGCATCTTGGCCAACAGGCTGGCCAAACAGGGGAGGAGAGCTTTAAACAAGGAA